TCCAGCACCCACCAAACTGGGCACTGAGCCTCACCAGAGCTCACTGGACTACTGAAAATGTGCAAAGAACAACTACTAAATCTGCTCCTCCCAGCTCTCCATTTCTCTTTCACTGAATGTCCACCTTCTCCATGTACAGAAATAAAACCTCTGTTTGCAAAAGTATGTCTTTATAAGACATAATTTCTATAAGTCTTTCTATATTCCTGTGTGACTGCTCTGGTGATCCTGCTCTGGCAAGGGTTGGACTGGATGAGCTTTCGAGGTTCCTTCCAACTCCTCATATGCTGTGATTCTGTGAAGATTGGTCTCTGTCATCTATGAAAAACTGTGACAACTGCATGAAGTCAGTGACAGGAAGGGGCACATATAATGTCACCTTTCTGAAAAAGCAGGAAGGAGGATGTGGGGAAGGTCAGACTCGTCAGCCCTACCTCCATCCCTTGGAGCTTTATGGAGCAAGTTCTGGTAGCCATTTCCAAGCACCAAAAAGGAGACTAGAAACAGGCAGCCAGGTTAAATGAGGGAAAATCATGCCTATGAACCTGACTGCCTTCTCTGATGACATGACAGGCTGTGTGGTTGTGTAGAGGGCAGTGGATGCTGTTCACATTGACTCCAGCAAGCCTCTTGATGCAGTCCCTCATAGCATCCATACAGCCAAATGGGGGAGCTATGGACTGGATGCCTTCCAGTAAGGAAGGTCAGTGAGAAACTGGCTGAACTGTCAGGCTCAAAGAATAACGATCCATGGTTTGAAATCTGTGTGATGGCCAGTTATGAAAACCATGCCTCAGAAGACAATACCGGGATCATTTATTCTTGTTCAAGTTCATGCTGCTTTTATTTGCCCAATGCACCAATCTATCCAGATCCCTCTGCAAAAGCCTCTTGTCCCTTGAGAGGGTCAACAGTACCTCACAGTTCGGTATCATCAGCAAACTTGCTAATGGTGCATTCAACTCCTGCATCCAGATCATTGACCAAAACACTGCACAGAGCTGTCCCTACACTTGGGCCCTGAGGAACAGCCCTGGTGACTGCTCACCAGCCAGACACAGCCCCATTCACTGCAGCCTCTGAGCCCTGCTGTTCAGCCAGTTCTTCACCCAGAGCACCAAGTACTTGCTTATCCCAAAGTTGGACAACTTGTCCAGAAGGCTGCTGTGAGGGATGGTATCAAAAGCCTAAAATCCAGAAAAACTACATCCACCATCTTCCCTTCATCCCCTAGGTGAGTGACCTTATTGGAGAAGGGTATCGAATTAGTTAGACAAGCCTGTCCCTTTGGGAATGCATGTTGACTGTGCCTGATGACTGCATTGTCTTTTAAATGCCTTTCAACAGCACCCAGAATGACCTCCATCATTTTTCAGTTTTCATTGCCACTACCAATTTTGCTTGGCTCTGAACACAAAGGGATTGCCTGCTCTTGTGCTTTTAAACAGTGGTTCTTAAAAACTGACCAGCACTCATGGATCCTCAAAAACAGCTTCCCAGAGGACACTGCTAACTAGCTTGCCAAGTAGCTTCAGGGTAGCTCTCCTGAAAGCCAAGGTAGCACCTCTGCTATTTTTCACACTATGTGAAAAATGTTAAAATCAACCATTTTGTGACTGCTGTGCCTAAGACAGCCACCTACCAGCACATCTCCCACAGGTTCTTCTCTATTCACAAATAATAAGTCTAGGAGGGCATCTTTCCCAGTTGGCACCCCGAGTACTTGTGACGAGAAATGATCTTCAACATACTTTGGGAATTTCCCAGACTTGCTTGTCACAGCACTATGATAATTCCCAGCTCATGTCTGGGAAGTTGAAGTCTCCAATAAGGAGAAGGAGAGAAAACAACTGGAGAGAAGATGAACCTGGAAAAAAGACTGGGGAGCCCTGGTGGACAAGAAGTGGAATACGAGTGAGCTGTGTATCTCTGAAGCAGTAAGCACATACTGGACCACCTTAGTAGAAGCACGGCTCCCAAATCAAGGCACATTATTATTATTCCTTTCTACTCAAGTGATCCAGATCTGAAGCACGGTGTCCTTCACTGCAAGTACATTGTGAGTTCTAAGGAATCTGCCTTAGGAAAAGAGGCAAAACGCTGCACTTGGTTCATTCATCTAAGAATGCTGCAAATGTTCAAATCTGTACCAAGCCACTGAAGTCTGAAGAAGAATGTTGATAAATGCCCTGGAGTAGCAAGGTATACAGTTCATTTAGCTTGTCTACCACTCAGGAGAATCAAATTTGGTTGAGAGCCTGACTGACCTGCAAATGGATTCTAACCCAGAAACAGGAAAGACAAAACCACTGCAGGATCCTGAGTGTCCTGGCACTTCCAGAGAGTTGTCATGGCAGAAGCACAGCTTACCAAGACAAGGCCTGCCACAGCTGCTCTTCAGTACTGCCACAGGGACGTTCAACCTTTAAAGGCAAGAAAGACCTCCTAGGAGCTTACAACCTAAGTAAGGGCTTAACCAGATGAACAGTGCTACTGACCTCAATAGGAAAATCTGATAAATTATCTTTCCCTGCCCCCAGAGAAAACTCACGTGAAGTCTGACAACCCCCTTCCCACCACAATGACCAACATGAAGGCTGTTTATTCCCTAACACCTCAAACATCTCTCTTATAAGAGTTTTAAAACTGTCTTGACACCTCAGAAGAAGCAGAGCTACTCTCAACAATACTCAGAATGCAGCAAGAAATATCCAAACTGCTTTTAAAACGGGGAACACAAAGGCCAGAATTTAAAATTTTAGCTGAATGCTCAGTACTCTGAGTAAGTCTGTTGAACAGACTGAAACCAGGACAGGTTGTGGAGGATCCTTCACGGGATTAAAAACACTCAATTGCACAAACAATCTTTTAGGGAACCTGCCACTGAAACAGCCTGGAAGTTCATTACAAGGCTTCCAACCCTAAAATTTCCCTGCAGGTTGTCAGGAGGACGTGACCACCTTTCCCCTTCACTGTGTTCACTGGTCAAGCTGCCACTCTTCAGGTTTACCTCCTCTTTGTATGTTCTAGATTACAGGCTCTGCAGTGCTGAGACTCCCTGTGCTACCTTAAGCACCACTGCTCAGAGTAGCTACAAAATAAGACAATCCAATGAGGACTTTAAAATAGGAACACTTTTCTTTCCACAAAACCCTTACAGCTCATCCTGTAATCCACACTGACCTCTGCACTCCTTCAGCAAGGTAAAAAGGCTTTCCCTGTTCTAATTAGTTCTAAAATGTACCACCAAAAATTAGTTTTGAGAAGGATTTACATGGACAGATCTGACAGTTTGCTTGGGCTGCGAAATATAAATCCAATTTGGATCTCTCCCCAAGAATAAGTAGGTATTAGAGGATCAGACACGGACAGTGTGTCTGTAATAGAACTGTATTTGTCAATCATGATTTAGTGAGTCATTCAATTTTTGTTTTGTGTACATTACGATCGTTTAACATTTTAATACAGAGTTAAATATAAATCACTGCTTTATATCCTCACAATCACATCTGTTCCTCAGCTACTTGACTTATAAGGGAGAGCAGAACACTGCAAAACCAGTAAAAGCATGCAAATTTTGTTAGCTACTTAAGAGTGCTAACTGCACCTCCACGTGCAAAATTAATTTTACAAGCTTAAACGGACCTGTCTGAAAGCTCCGCCCAGTGAGAAAAGCAAAGAGAGTTCTATGCATACAAATACATCCTATTTTTAAAGGACTTGAAAAAGCCATGAGGCCACCTATTCCTTGACATATTCTGCAGGTATATATTCTAAAAACATAGCCCAAAATAAGCTCCATCCAGTAATTCAAGAAAAGTGGAGTGTGATCAAGAATTCAAGAAAAGATGTAAGAAACCACTGTCCATATATTCTGCCACAGAGAAGGTAACAGGGGACCAAGTGGACGTGCTATGGAGAGAAGAGAAGAGAACCTCTTCTGTGCAGGCTGCAGAGTGAAGTACAACCATCAGTAGGTGGAGATGCCCCCAGTAGATACAGGGGGCAATACTTTTTGAAGGGAAGGGAAACATGAGACAGAAGTGGTCTGACCAGTACCCAGAATGCTGTGAACTCACGTGATACTTTTAAGTGGCTTTTTTGTTCAATGGCATGGTAACTCCAAATGCAAGCATCCTTTAGAAACATTAACAGCCATTTTCTAGTTGATGCACCAAGAAACAGAAGTTTTATATATCCTCTACCCTACTCCAAGGATATTCAAGGGCCCAGGATCTTTTCCAGGACAGAAGCTTGCACATTTATGTCCAAGTAGATCTCCCAAATTCTTATCCAGTAGGAGATTTAGTAAAGAACATGCAATACACAAGCAAGACTAAAGACATTCAGAACAAGGGAGAAGGAGAAGGTCTAACGGACCATGCTGCCCGTGAGCTAATGGCAATTTCTAACTGGACAAGGACTGTATTTGCTTGGCTAAAAGCAACACGATTCAAGTCCATTAGCACATGGCCTGAAAACATCCTGCTAATACAGAATTCAGGTTCCATGTTTCAACTTGTTTGCATTCCCTCCTCATTCCTCAGCCAAGAAATCCTCCTGGCCTGGAAGAAAGCAGGGGGAGACTTTTGTCTCCTTTAGCAGCAGTGGGACTTTCACCCCAAAAATGCCAAATGCACAAACAAGCATCGTGTCCAGGGTGCCAATAAAGATCTGAAAACCCCAAAGAATCTGTACATGACCCAGCACGTAGGAGCAAGGATCAGGGAAGGAGATGAACGCATAATAAATACAGCAATAGCAAGAACATTTTTAAAAACCACTGCGGTCCCAACACTGATTACCTTTTTTTTTTTTAAACATAGATTCACAAACATGATTTAGATACGTGGGGCACGCAGCTCAGTCTGGATGATGGCACGCATCACGCACCAATACTGAAGGTATCACTACTGCCAAAGAAGGTGTTCGGTGAAGACACACACCAGAGTCAAGTACTTCCAAAATCCAGCAAGCTTTTACAGTTGCAACGCTTCCTTTTAGCTGTATCCAGGGTTCTTCTCTGGTGGCATTTTAAAAAAGTTACTGGAGGCAGCAATAGTGGCTTTCTCGGCTGCTGGTGCTTTCCCTGTCCACTCAGAGTTCTGGGATCTCAGGGATGGTGTTGCTGGTAGTTCTGACTCTGCTGCATCCATGTGGACAGATAAAGTTGCTGGAATATAAAATTGAAGGAAAGGGGGAACAGAGGAAGAGAGTAGGAAAGAGCAATAAAAACAATGTTAGAACAAGTGACTCCATGGCAAACGCCTCATATGTACATAATTTCTTATATGCAGGGGTTATTTATAGAGTTCCTACAAGTTCCCCTGCCAAATTCCTTTGAAATACACCTTCTTGATAGCACTAACACCTTTGCTCTAAGGATTCTCACATTCAGCACTCCAGGTTCCCATTCCACTAAATGGTTCCCTTAGTCAAAGTCCCCGTTGAAAATCAAAAGCTTTAGCTGTCCCATACTTAAACTGAATCAATTCAAAATCACTCAGCTGAAGATAACTTGATCTCTCCACAGAGACTCAATTAACCCTGTATCTGAGAATTTCTCAGTCTCTGCAGGCTTGGCAAACTTCAGGTTACAAAGCTCAAAGAGGAAAATACACCTCTCCTTTTTACCCAGTAAAGACAGTACTGTGAACCTCCACATACACCCAATATGGTAAATCAACATATTATAACAAGAAGCTACTTGCTAAGCTAGGTTGGAATTCATTCTCATTTTCTCAATACAACCACTGCTTCAAAATGGGGCAGGCTATAATTAGCAAGAGAGGTTTGCAGAGCCATAGCTCAACCCAACAGCCACCCCAAGTTTCCAGAAGGATTGTCAGAAACCTGGAGACAGGAGAATTGACTCCCATTCTCACTCTCCTGAAATCACTCAATCCTCACAAGCAGAGCAGGGCAGGATGAAGAAGAGTAATTGCCACAGGAATCTTTGGGGCAACTGGATTTGCTTTTGAACAAGTAACTGCTTTGGTACAAAACACATCTCTTCTCATTGTATTCTCACAACAGATAATAGCTGTTTGTGTATTTTTATTACAAGTTGTGTGTGCTGCTCTGTAGTGGATGAAGGATAAAGAGACCACAGTAAGTCTCAACTAGAGGACTGATTGCTCTGAAGTTTAAATAACAAGTCGGTTCAGTGCTTGAGGTTCCACTCTCAGTAGATTCTGCAACCTCAACCATCCTGCTTCTGTGCATCCAGAACACTGAATCATTCCCATACGACCACAACGACACAGCTGCTAACAGCACACTGCGCATTTGACCTCTAGCCCATCATCTTCCTCCATCTGAAGGTCATATGAAACATGCAAAAAAAAATGTTAAGTCAAAGCCCTTAAACTGATAATCACCACCAATACCACACCATGCGCCCCGCACTAGCAGCCTCCCCACCCAGGCTCTCCATCCTTGCTCATAAAAAGAAAAAAGGACTGAAACAGGCTTCTTGTAACTGGGTACCATCACACCATGACAAAGAGTGAAGGCATTAGCAAGAAACAATTCACCAAATTGCTACTGCTCATCTGCTAACTGGCACCTTTTAGAAATTATTTTTCACAAGCTAAGTGTGATCATGTGCCAAGGCAGACAAAAATCTATTTATGCAGATTTTTACCCCCGAGTCACTGTAATAGCTGTGCCAGCTACCACGTGCACTGCTGCATATATTGGGGACTGGACCACATAAGCATTAAAAACATCAGTGGATGTCCAAAGCTGGACAACTGTTCACCATTTATTTCACAACCTTACTTGTGGCCTATTCTGACAAACATAAGGCAGACATGAGTCTTCATCAGATCCCTTTCAAACCAGAGAATAACCACCATGAGAATAACATCTCACACAGTGTTTCTCACACTAGCTCTACTGTGCCACTGGGGTCATTATTCCAAACCTATTGCACTGCCACAGAAAGTAACTAAACACAAGGACATTACCCATGCCTTTGGAAGCCCCTAAGTCTTAGATCACTCCAAGTTCACAGGACCTTTACCACTACAGAGTTTCCTCTTCCCTAGGCACTGGCTGTTTGTCACCGAGCGGGATGAACTTCCAGTCTAGCTCAGTACAACCACTACTTACTTCCTCCTGATTTCCTCCTCCTACCACCAAACTCCACCAGCCAGACTCCTGTTCTTACCTGGTGAAAGCCTCACACTTCAGGGCTCACACAGTGCTCAGCTCCGTAGTATGGAAAGCACTCACCTTCACTTTCAATCTCTCAACATTTGCACAAGTTTGCCCAACTTAATTTTGACCACAGTCACTTCCTGAAGTGCAAGTGAATTCTGGACTTTCTACCCACTTTTTGTTGCTCTCAACAGCCAGGCCTCTTTCCAAAATGCTGGTTTTTAACAGCTATCTCAGTTATGGTGTTTAGGCCAGCTAGCCTCAGATGGCAGGACTAATACCAGAAGTTTAATGCTGTAACAATACAATAGAAACACTTCTGCTACACTAATGCACGTTTTTTGATGTTCAGACAAGAGCCTCTGACAAAAGATGCTTTACCAGAACCCATAAACACTCACATTCATGAAAAGTACATAAGACAACACAGAAAAAACTTAATATGCTTGGCTCCCAAATAAACATTATCTCTAGCTCCCTTCTCTCATTCCTGCAACTGGAAGGGAGATAGCATCCACATCTCATATGCCTTTTATTAGCATCTTCTGATTTCAGCCAATTTCCACTCAAAACTTTCTGTGGATGGTGGCGGGGTGAGGCGACAGGGGAAGATTTGTAGCTGCATGTTTAAGAAAGAAGCTAAATTCATCACAATGACAGGGGAGAGTGTTGGCAGAGATTTGAGCTATTTATTCTTTTAGGAAAATCCTATAAAGAATGACACGAGGAAGCCTCTATCTGCAGTCTTGTTCATCACACTGGTGAGGAGTCCGATAACAGATGTATGCAGTAGCGTGATTTAGTGCCGGGAGCTGGCCCCTGATGTGTATTAATACAGCGGCAAAGCGGAACAAGCCCCTCTTCATCACTCATCTCTATAAAAGAGGTGGAATCCGAGATGGCCCGATGTTCGGCAGAGCAAGCCCATTTGTTCCGCTGACTGATGGAGCCAGCTCAGGCTGTGTCCTTCACCTCCACGGGGCACTCGGGTTGCAAAAAAGGAGATCACTGAAGCAGGACCTGGTCAACAAGTGAGACGAGAGCAGTTGGACTCAGCTGAAGAGCTATTTAAAGGTGAAGAAATCCAGCACTCTGTGTGCCTGCAGTGACAGACACGGGTCTGCGTTCTGATTCGCCCATGTTTCGTCAGAAGAAGCAGAACACCAAAACACTGAAAGCCTCTGTAGTGAGAAAATGAGGCTGTCACGATTCCTCAGCTACAGGAATACCTCAGTATAAGATATTTATGTAGGGGCAAGTAAATGCATGACAAGGGGGAAAATCTCTTTCTATCTCACCAGTGTCGAACAAGCAAAAGAATCTTCAGTTAATTCCACATTATTGCAGAGTAATCCTATGTATTTCTTTAGCCATTAGTAGTGCCACAGTCAGATCACCTTTGACAGAAGCAACACCAAATTTCAGAAGTTTCCAGGTTACGTGCCCAGGTTGTGCTCCAGTTGCAACTGGGAGACTGCTGCAGAAAGTGAGCTGGGACACAGCTTCAGTTACCCAGTCGTAAAAGTTTCCTTCCACCAGTCAGTATTATAGCAAACCCTGCCCATCGCTGTTAACTTCGCTGGGGATATTTCAAAAGATGATCTAAGGAAGAAATTGTTACCATTTCTGACCATTAAAGACCTTGCAGCACTTTCCTCTTGATGATCAGCACAGAATCCTGTCTGGATCCCAGTATCTACACTGCTCTTCCTTATTTTGTAATATATACTTCAATTTTCTCTCCCTCATCCCCCCCCTGCCCAAAAAAATCCCTTCAAACCTATGTGCTAATCAGAAGCAGATCCAACTCTTCAGAAAGTGTTCACTGTACAATTTGCCTAGTCAAGTAAGTACAATTTATGTATTTTGAAACTTGAAGGCATAGAAATAGAAGCTCTCCCTATAGAAAGTGATCAACAGTGCGGTTCAGAACAGACTCTGAACAACAAATATATGGACAGGTAATAGGGGACAGTGAGACACTAACATTCATAGCAAGAAAAACCTAGTACCCCAGAAATAAAATTCTGAGGCTACGGATAGATGATTTTACTAACCCTTTCACTACAGAAGTTTGAATATCCTAGCATAGGATACTCAAAAGCCAGGAAAGAATATCCTAAAGAAACAATAAATAACAGATTATACTTTTGCTGAGCAACAGATTATTAATTTCATGCTCTTTTTCTCTTCTTTTTTTTCAGTAGAGAACCTTTCAGAGCGTCTCTAATCCAGATCTGTGGCCTGGAGAGCTAGCACAACTTTCTTCCCTACTTCATTATTCTACTGCCTATCCACCAGCCCAAGGAAGAAATGTGAACTCCATTCCTCCTATTCATCATCGGTTCCTTTGGCCTTCCCCACTGTTTTCACAATCTCCTAAACCCCTCTGTGTTCTGCAGATTAAAACTTTTTCAGATTCGGAGTAATAATCAATCACTTTGCAGAAATATGCCACATGAAAATAAACCAGCACTTTAATCACTACATCTCCAGTGGAAGAAAAAGAAAGAAGTGACTATGTTCATCCAGAACAGTAAGGCAGCTCCCAGGGAATAGATGATCCCACCCAGTGATGATACAAAAATTGCCAGGTTTCTGCACCTGTGAAAGTGTCTAGAAGAAACACCCTGAAAAAGGGCACCAGAGCCACTAGGTAATGTCAGCCTAACACTGAAGGAACACACTTGTGTACAGTCATCACCTCCTTATTACCACACACTGTGTAATTTAGGAAGAGTGGAAATAACCCCTTATGAAGAGACAGATTGTTACCCACTGCACAGTGAAGCACAGTAAATTACATTAACTCACTACAGCTGCACCATCAAAGATTTGTTTAGTAGGCAGCTTCTGATGCTGTGCAAAAACACAGGATATTCTCTCTCAGACACTGCCTTTCTCACACACATTTCATCAGTTTCAAATCAAGATACCATTTTTGACTACTGTGACTCTGGCACTTTGCTCAACAGGGACACCACTTCAGAAGTGCTGGCATGCAGATAGATGGAGGTTACCTGATGTTGGGCTGGACATGGAGGCTGCAGCTGGCTTTCGTTTCCTCTTGATGTCCCGTGAACACGGTGGTCCCAGGTGCAGATTTGCTTGCCTATAGAAAAATTTAAATAAATTAAACCCTGTTCCAGTATCACCTTCCTATAATACTCCAGCCAATCACCCTCCAACTCCCACCTCCCCATCAGCTTCTTAACTAACAGGCAGCACAAATCAAAAGCTTCTCAGGGAACTTGCTCACATTCTTCATTAATACACCATGATGCTCCCATTTCTTTTAAGAGCTCACACACAAACTGCTCAGAAGAATCATTATTTCTTCGCCTTTAAAGGATCTGGCTTTGTATTCACTTCAAAATAACTCTTTGCATCAATAAAGATGCGATCAAGCAGTGATACAACACATGTCCTACCAGTACTGCTACACAAGTGTAACAAATGTCTGCAAGACTGCTCTTTAAAGAAATTGTGTGATACTCGCTCCCTTATCCAGAAATTGTTCTGCAACCTATTCAGTAGAGTCACCTCAGAACGTACCTACATTCCAAGTGTCCACGTGTATTGTTTACACTACAGAAGTAAGTTCACAAAGTTAGGATGCAAAACTGCCTCATGCATTTTCAGAATTACTGTTTCCTTATCCAAGTGCTGTGAATGCAGCTGAACCTGGCTTACGGTAATACAGCCTTGCTGCACCTGTAAACTGCCTGAAAGGCATAATCTGTCCCAGTCAGATCCACTGTTAATTCTGAAGCCTACTGATGACCACTTAAGTTTAATCATTTGCCATTTAAGAAGAAACTTGCATTATTGGCACTGACTTGAACTGAGCACTCCTCCAAGTTCTAGGTGTAGGAAGAAGAGAAGTTTAATTCAGCAGAGACACTCTTGGAAATAGACCAGAGAACTTTCTCAAATACAATCAGACAATCCATAATGAATACAAATGCATAATTTAGCAGTGATGTTGGGTTCACATCCCTGCTTTGTCTGAGATAAGAATTTCTTTGGCAAGTTCCTTGGTCACTCTCTGCATCAGATCTGATGTGCAAAATGCAGAACTACAGCGCAAATAAAATTCAGTGAAGACAGTGAGGTGCTTACATGGTGTAAAGATTGAGGCCATATACGTTTTGATGATTAAGTGATGAAAAGCTTCTGTCTTTAAAGCCTGTTAGTTTGATTTTTTTTTTAAATCCTAAAAGTTTAACAAACACTTTTATCAAGTAGTGAAATCTTTTACAGATAACAAAAGGAAAAGTTTGTGGCTTCATATTTCCATGCCAAAACCTATTAAAAAAAAACCAGCTTATTTATAATATATACAATTTTAGACGCTGAATTTACACAAAACCAAAGTGTGTTGTTGTAGCCATACAGAACAGTGTAGGGAGCACAAAAAATTTCCCATACCAGCCAAGACTATAAATTGTTTGAACGCTGCTGGGTCTACTTACTTACCTGTAACAAATGTGCGACCACCAAATAAAACATATCCACCGTTCTGTCTTCTCAACTAAAATTCAGAAGTTCTACAAGAAGTCTACAAGAACTGTCACCTCAATCTGGCATGAAGGAATAGTTTCAAAACATAGGCCAAGGAAAACATGGTCTCAATCAAGTGGAACTTCAGGTTTTTTTATTTTGCATCAGTGACACAGTATTAGGTTACTAACTAGATGAATACATAATTATATCTAAAAATCCAACTCATTTTATCACATAATAAGGTTGCCTTTTTAATTTTATGAACTTACACCACCATTAGCCAGTTGACCCTTGGTGGAGAATCACTATGGATGAGGAAAGAAGCACGCAATAATATTGCCAAGAGACTTCACGCAACTTTTCCCAGTTCACAAATGTTACAGCTAGATTTCAAATAAGAGCTCCTAGCTCTCAGCTGCACGCTTTACCCTTGCCTCACGATTACATGTGTCTTTTACAAGAAAAATTAAAACAGAATATGAGAATCTCAAAATCCCTTCTTGTAGTGAAAGCAAAAGCAAATTATACTCTAACTGGAGACTAATAGCAAGGATGCTGCATCGAGCAGCCCTGCCTCAAACACACAAAGACTCGGAGGTCATAAATTGTCCCCGTAACATGTATTTCATTCAGGTTTATCCCTTATTGATCACGCACACTTCAGTTAGTAAATCAGGAACCTATTGATTACTCACTGGCTCTGACTGACCTGGTGGTAAAAGTGTCACTTTCAAGTGGCTGGTGCACTTTACGGGCACCATAAATCTGCATGCAGGGGATCTCCAGGTGGTAGGTACCTTGGGAGAGAGGAGCAGAGGGATGCACGCAGAGATGATAGTCCTTGTTAAGACATGGACGGAAAGGGTGTCTGAAGTACAATTTATGAAATATGCAATTCTTTGGTAGATACCTCACTTTTCAATCTACATTTCTAATCACTATCTCATATAGGTGCTATATCAGTAAGAAAAATAGAACTGGTGAATCCCAGTTTAAGAGTGGACTCCTAGAAACACCACCACCAGGAAAGTCAGTTCATGGGTATGCGCAGCACACAACATTGCAGGGGATAGGCTGACCTATGAATTGTGAAAGTCTCACTGACAGGCTGCAAGCATGAATTAGTTTTTCTGCCAAAATTCAATTTTAACAACTCTTCTGAACAGTTTAAAGTTGACTCTGAAGTAGAACAGAACGGGGCTGAGAGGAAAGGCTGACAGATAATGCACATCCACGCACTGTTACAAGCCCCTCTGTAAAGAAGTCTGAGGCACAGAGCTTTGTGGCATGGGACATCTGGGCCTAAACTGAGAAGCTGGAATGGTACTCACTCTGTCCTTACTGGCTTTCAACCTCTTCTGCTACGCTTCCAGACTTTCTTCAGTGACGCACAAAGAGCAATGAGAAAATAACTGCCTGGTTACTTTTGGACTACGGCTGGTTGATCTCACTGCTCAGTTACAGGTGGATCTGCTCGGTGACCAGAGACTAATACGAAAACCTAGTTTACAGTCTAGAAAGGACTGAAATGCTGACCTGAGAAGAGAAAAAGCAGAACACACCTGGAGAGAAAAAGCAGGATCCAAAGTACAGCTACGCTGACGGCTGCAATATATCCAACTCACACTGCAGCCTCTCACTGCCGTGAGTTAGTGAATGAAAAATTACACACGGATAGCAAAAACGGGTTTATATGAAAAAAGTCTATAATGTCTTTCTGACAGTGATGATTTTTTTTTAAATCACAAGTTGAAGGAATTATCGAGGAAATATGGATTTGTCTCTTGTTCTTAACGAAGTACTTAAGGTACCCGAGTCTGCATGCAGGTCACGCTGGAGAAAAAGCGGGCTTTGACACACAGAAAGCTGAGAGTCATTGCTGTCTCTACCATGCCAGAAGTAATGCTTTTTTTCTTTTATTGTCCACATATTTATTCTATTACTTCATTATTTTTTTAAGTGAACTGTAATTGCATAGACGGGACTCCTATCTCACTCCTACAGTTCGAGACGACCACATGCTGGACTAGAGGGTCACAGGAGCTTGCCACAGTTTTACATCTACCATAGAGTCAGCAGAAAATTAGGATTGGCAGTGCAGACTGCTCGAGACTATACAGAGCACAAGCAGACACGTGCCCACGAAGAACCTTATTGAACAGCATCAGGCCCCTGAATCCCTCACCATCTGTGAAGAAAAGTCTAGATTGTAAAGAGGTATCCACTCTTGTAAAATCTGGGGTAAAAAACACCTCCATCTCCCAATGGAGGTCTCTGAGGAGACCCTACAGACCTAACTGTGGCAGTCTGTGGCCTTCTTGAAGGCTGGAGGCACCCTTGGGGTGTGTCTCTCAATGTAATCTCACATTATCCAACTCTTCTGCTGACAATCTTTACTTTAACCCTATCCTTGGAGGAAGCAAAGCACTTGGATGATGTAGTGAAAGGCAGCCATTAATCTGCTTGTCATACAAACAAGGGACACTATTATCCTGGTGTTCAAGTAAATGTTCAACAGAGACAGCCTTCTAACAAGGACACTGCTACTGAAACCCCACACGGCTCAGCTGTTGCTGTTGTGATGCTACATGCCCAGCAAACGCAAGTCAAATAAAAGGCCCTCTCTCTAAGCCCTGAAGTGTTACCTGAGGCTGTTGATGGTGGCTTCACAAAATTCATAGTAAAAGCAGAGTTCTTCCTTCTCTTTGACTACGGTGTCCAGCTGGGCACCAGAGTCTGATCTGCACATAACAGGTGTAAATCAACACAAGCTGCTCATCCAATCTGCCTGCAAAACTCCCACGCGTGCAGGTGGTTCTTGCTATCACATCACATCACACTGCAGATGCAGAGCCTCATGGGATTGCTTCTAGAGCACATTTTTAGATTCCAAAATCACCAACGTGTCAGCTCACTTCTTAAATCATCCAGATCTCACAGGTCCTCATGCAGCAGCAGCCTGTTCCCCAAGTAAGCATTTCAATGGTGTAAGGCATTTTCTTCAGGTTTTCCAGGTAAGCATTCCAAGCAGAGGTGATGCGATCCCATGCATTGCATCTCTATTTTCATACTGAATCACAAGATATCTGTGACAGAAAGAGTCCTAATATTTGCCAGACCTGCTGAGTATACAGATAGGATAATGGCAACGTGCTTTACAGGAAAAGAAAGCAATTGCAAGTAAACTAAATTCTGATGCCAAAGGGAGTTTATTTTTCACTCCAGAGAACTGGGATTCACCAAAGTGGGAGTATTAGGCCTCAGACAACTGCATGTGACACTAGGTTGATAGCTGCTGCTCACTGCATGCCTGTCAGAAGAATTCAGATATATCCCCAACTGCAATATTAGCCAAGCCCTAGCAAAGGAAGACATGAAAGTGCTCCAGCTAAATGGAAAAAGTGTTTTAAAAAAGCAAAAACTGGGAGAAAGATGCCTAAAGCAGTTGACAGCAAACATTTTTACATCAAGACAATTCCAGAAGATGAAGATGTGTGGATAGGCTGCATGGAATGAACTGGATATGGTCATGGTCAAGTGGGACAGCATGAAATTGTGAACACCCATTCAGTCCTTCAGCTGCCTCAGGAAAGGGAGGACATTGCGGGCAATCCCTACACCTCCACATGCTTGGCTAAGAGGCAGAAATGTCAGGATTTCTGCACAGACACAGAAGAGAAAGGACAAGATTGAATTTGATGAGCACGTTTCCAGAGCTAGAATAGAATTAGAGACATGCAAACCTTTTCACTCTAACAGCACCACCAAATCCAAGGTATGGAGCAAGTGGCATTTACTAGGAAACTTACTCACCCCTTTAGATCTTTACCCTATGTTCCAGGGAAGATGAGAAACTTGGCTCTAGGTTTATGGTTAATATTAAGTGGGAGCACATGCAAAGTGATTTTCTTCAATTCATTTGTACTGTTCAGAGGTCTCTCTAACTTAATTCTTCAAATTTCCACCTTCAACATCTACTTGCCATCTGAGGTCCACTTTTCCTATAACCTCCAGTGGGAACACTTAATTGAGTTTTTCACTCATAACCCTATTTTCGAGGCTAGGCAAACAATAAATGGCATTAGGGACAATTTATCTTCTACCTTCCTCTCTTATTCTACCTGCTATTCAAATTCAAATTGAAGGGAATATTGGCTCTAGGCTCTTTTGAAACTCTTACCCTGCCTCAAGGGAATAACATTGCACCAAGCAACAACCTCCAACATCTTCCCACTGATAGAGCCATTGAACAACCAAAATCTAGTTAAATATTCCACTTGAGCCCGTACAAAACCCCTTCAAGTAGGAGTTCAAGAAGAAAATGCTGTTCAGATGACTCCTGTCTCCCAGAAAGGCAAACGGGCAGAGGGGAAAGAGGAGAAGGATCACTTGGGCTGTCCATGCAAGTCTCTACTTGCTTGCTTTTAACAGCCTGCATTGCCAAGCCGAAACCTTAACAGACAAGACATGATTAGCAAACGCTTTGTGCTCTTAAAGGAGAGTAATTATAGGCATGTGAAAAAAGGAAGAGATCCCTGAGGTACTCTTCCTTGCAAGCCTCCCGAGAGGCAGTGGGGCCATTAAAAATTCCATGATGAAGAGGAAGAACAGCCTGGGAACAGCCAGGAGGCAATACAGCAAATTAATACACCAGCCATCCCTCGGGATGACTGCAAGAAAGCAGGAAACTCTCAGCGCTTCACAAAATAAAATTATACCACTAATGATAACAGTCACCACGCACACAAAACTGCTTCTAATGATGGGTGTGAAATTCCCAGTGCTGTGCATACACTTTGAATGAAATCTCTTCTCATCACAGACATAATGCAAGAAAGGTAATCTTGGCAGTGTACAATTCATACAGCCTTTCAAATAACACTTCCCAAGGAACTCTCCACACAGAACCTCCTCCTTGACACTGAAAAGCCTTTCTTGAACAACCGTGCTCAGTATTCTGGCCTTCAGCTCTGCTGATATGAAGCACTGGATTACCAGGCCTCCAGATGACCAGCATCAAAATCCACCATTGACACAAAGAAACCATTTCCACAGGAGAAAAAAAGACTCTGCCTGGTAATCGTACTCCATTGGACACAGTGGTGATAGCAGAAACGAAGCAGAGAGAGGTAATTTTGCACTGCATGGTGGGCATCAAGTGAAGAAACTGGACTGTCCACGACATCAAGACAATTTCTTCTCTAACACATTTCGTATCGTTCTCAGCAGATCAGCTTCCCACACACACCACTGTGACAAATTTTGAGGAGAATTTCTCCAGAATGAGGTGTAAGCTGTTAGGAGTTTACTAAAGCATGGCAGATCAGCTTCCCACACACACCACTCTGACAAATTTTGAGGAGAATTTCTCCAGAACGAGGTGTAAGCTGTTAGGAGTTTACTAAAGCACAAACTACTGGAATTGACAACATCTCCCTCTTCTGCCATGGATGGGAACTGGGGCAATGGCTGAACAGCACCTACAGAGTCACCTGAACCTCCTGTAACAAAGTGGACTACTGACAGGCTGAGCTCTTGAAGCACCTCCAGAACGACCATTGCCAAGAAAACGTTTCTGTGAAGGAACAGTTTCCTTCTGTGCCCTTGGCAGCATCTTTACGTAAAGCAAGCACCTTGCACCGAAGAGTTCAATCCTCACCACGTGCGTGTGGCCACATAACACATTAATTATTTCCACATTTCTTTCTCCTATAAAGATTCTTGAGCACATTTCACACTAAAACAGGAGCTACTTTCTCAAACGACAGGCACTTAACACAGCCACCTCTGGGATGGGACAACTTCTCTGGCAATATTCGTAACAATTAATTGGGGATTATGTTTGTCAGGGCACCAGTCACCAGTTCATTAGAAGAAGGGACCAAGCACACATCCACTGGTTAACCAGACTACATATTCAGCAAAACAAAGCAAAGATGATTGCTCCAGGTTTAGAAATCCCTTGCCATAACCAGTAGCTTTGGAAAGGGCCCTTACTGGTCATCATAAACACAGAGACTTTGCCCTGTTTGAATTTCTGAGCAAGACTTCTCTAGCTCTCCTTTCTGGAAGACAAACTTCTGTAGGGCACTAAGTAAAACACTCAAGGCACAAGAAAGGTTATCCTAGCTGTAAATGAAGACACCAATCAATCTTCTTGCTTCATGGGCACAAAACATTCCTAGACTGGGGCAAAAGCACCGAAAGGAACCAATCTGCTGACGCACGATCTTCTGAACTCTTTTTATTCTCATCCAGCTGAATGTTTAAGAGTGGATTTCTTCCTCCCTCCCCTTTTCCAGCTTTAACATGCTGGCTACAGCAGTATGAGCTCATGGTGCGACATCACAAAATTCCCTGCAGAAGCCAGTGGGAGGAGAGGCTTTGCTGGGTGGGTGCCAAGCTTTCGTTCAGACACATACAACCTCAGTACATTTTTCATGCTCTATTTGCTAATTAACAAGGGAAAGAAAACCATGAAGCTGAACGTCCAGACGTTTCTTTCAGATTTGGTCCTCTGTACAAGCACATAAGCGTAATTGTGTCCCAAGCAAGGCTTTGCCTCCTTGCATGGGGAAAGAGCTCAAGGGCACCTTACCTTTAGACAGTCACCTGCAGCACAAGAACAGGAGTCACCTCCAAGGCCAATACTTGAATTTAATTTAGGTTTAGTCAGCAGAAGGTGCCTGAATAGCACATTAACCCCACCTATGCAGACTCAAATATACCTCAACATTTGGCCAGACCAGATCTAAATTTCAGCTACAGCAACAGAGATATCAAGCCATTAGAGGTCACCTCAGGTGAGTTCTGAATCTGTTCACAGGGTCTATTTTAGGCACCCAGGATATCAAAGTGCCTCAGCATGTCACCCACACGAGCTTGTCAGCAGTTTTCCTCTCATCCTGTTCCAATTTTAACAGCGGGCAACAATACCATGCCCAATTGTACCTATACAACAGACTTGTGGCAACTCACTGCACAATCCAGAACAGACCACATTTATAATTATTATGCTTTTTTAAGAAGCACAGTTTATTCTGCTTGTCTGTCATACACTATTTCATATACTCTAAGCACTTAGCATATTGAGACTCTCAAATAATCTCTATCAGTATGTTTTATGCTAAGTTTGAACACAGGCCCCCTAGGGAAAAATGCATTCACTTGCAGGTCCATGAGTATTGTTCAGACCACGCAGCACCAAGGGAAACCATGGGAGGGAAGTGAGACAACCCCAACAGAGCAGAGCAAGAGAGTTACCTGGCAGTGCAGTGTGCTGGTGAGCATCTTCGGTGGGAAGCATCAGCAAGCACATCCAGAGAGTACAGAGGAGATAATGGATTGAACTGGAAAGTCAAGAGATTTTATTTAAGCAAAGCGTTAAAAGAAATAGTTTCCAGATACAGCTGCTCAGATTTATTCCCTATAGTTGTTCACACAGTATAAGGAGAGCGTTCTGACACATCAAGAGGTGAGAGTAGGTGAGGACTGACTCTCACTTGAGACAAAAGGCTAGCACAGGGTGCAACATCAAATCTCATAACCATCTTTCGGGACAGCCGTATAAACACACTCCTCTTTCAACTTGCATCATTACAAATGCTGGTTGACTCAAGAGCATACTCAAAGAGCTCTCCTGCTGCATGCCATGAGCAAAGAGTCTGCCTCCATTTCAGGAAGCCTCTTGTCTACCTTCACAGTGTAGAGAGAAAAGCCACAGACCTTCCCACAGAGGAGCTGTGATATTCTCTGTGGTCGTACGTATCACTGAAACAGACCTCTGGGTCCACCAGGTCCAGTTCACAACGAGCTAGATCCAAATTTTTCCCACAGCAAGCGAGCTGCTCCTCCCACTCCCAACCCACCTCACAAGCTTTCTCTGCAAACCGCTCAAAACAAATTCCTGAAACACTGCACGGTCGGGGTGCTCTTAGATGCTTTGTTAGACGTACACTGGGTATCAAACATGTGCAAGACAACTTGTTGTAGAAGACGCAACGCTGAAGATTTAATTTCTTTTAAAGGTCAAAGCAGAAATTGAATTATCTAGTCAAACAGTGCACGGGGCAAACTCTGTTGAATATACAAGTATAAGGTTTAGACTGGTGGTTTCTCTGGCATACCTGCATTACACTCTGTTCAGCAACCCCTCTTTATTTATAATTCACACCACAAGCAGAAATTCATTTCCATCTGCTCTGCAAAGTGCTGCACCAATCTCCAGAACACTTCTCTTGTATCACTAGGATTACTGATGCATTTTTAAATAAGGACAAATGAATAATCCACTACTGTATCAGGACTTGTCACGAAAGCTATCTGCAACTCTAGAAGTCAGTACTAGGCCTTTGCCTGCAACCTTTCTGAGAAAGAAGAGGCACTATGCACCACAAAGCTGCTGCTGTCACGGAGCTCCTCCTTACGTTGGACCGTTAGTTTACTGTCAGTGAAGTAACGCTGCAGCTGCATAGCAGGGGAGAATCACCAGCAGCCCTCTGGAGCTGAATCAAGCTCATTTAAGAAAAATAAAGGTAATTTATTTTGGTCATTTGAAAGCTTATGTAGTTATCATTCTTATCTTTAGCAATATAAGAGTGGTACACAAAATGTTCTCATTAATGGAGAATATACAATTGCACAAAGGCCTGGCCATTATTACATATTATTTATGTATTTTTACTCACCAAAGGGCAAAACAGATTTCAATCCTACTGCTCACCACCTAAACCAACTCACAAAGGAACAGAAGGGAGCGTGCGTGGCTAGGAACACTGTTACAGCACAACTGCTCCGAAGATCCTTTTTGTTTTCTGCTATCAGGAACTCTTACATCTTAAGTTAAAACCCTCCTAACACCGAAGCTATGAAAGACTTACTGAAGAATATAAAAGAAAAAAAAATACACAAGAGTTTCAGTTAAAAGAACGCCTATTTCTCTTACTGTCACCCCTTACATTTTCCTGCATGGCTGCAATTTAACCGCAATCAGCTCACCATTCTTTTCCCTTCTCTGTTGATGAGACTATCAGGTAGAAGCTTGAGCCAAACAAGATAAAACAAAGCATTTAAAAAGAGAAAAATGTTCAAATTCTTACGGAATTTTGAGATGCCAAAGAGACATTTTCCCTCCCACTCACTGACAAGAGAGGAAGGCCTACACTAACCTGAAACAGTGAGATAAACAAAAGGAGTTCCTGAGCTATTCAGTTTAAACAGACAATATAACGCTGGAGACACGGGTTGTGTTCAAAGCCCAGAAGACATCAGTGACCAAAATGAGAAGGGACAGGGCTGCCTTACCTCATGTGCACAGGCCACAGTGTGTGGGAAATCAGAAGCCGACACTTTGTTCTTTCTAAAGAGAAGGAAACCAAGAAAATAAAAAAGTAGAGCAGAGTCAGCTTACCTGGTTGCGATCTCTCTTCCCCATGGATGGTAACCAAAAACTGGAAGGAGGCAGTTGGAGGGACAAGTGGGAGTAATGCCAAGGGAGAAGCAAACACAGGGGGAAAAAGGAGAGTTGGGGATAAGGAAAGAAGGGGGAGGGAAGAACAAAGGTGGACAGAGAAGGAGAAAGATTAAACATCAGTGGGTCTCATATTAAAAAAACCAAATTTCAGATACAAGGAAGAAAAAAACAGGATACCAACAGCTGGTGAAGGCTGGACCCACTGCACTGCAGTCAAGAGGTGCCACCCTTACCTACGACTGCCCAACAAGAATGGCATAGAGAGGATGCCAAAGGATACACACCATGACTATTTCTGGTGCTGACTACAATTTAAATACACTAAAACTGGGGAAGGAGACTGAACACCCAAGAAAGACAAAGCAATTTAGCAGCTGCCTTGTCAGCAGCATTTCTGCAGTGTGGGTATGTGTCCATAGCATGACTCCACACAGCAGCTTTTTAAATAACTAACATTTAGGGCTCAGTCTTCTCATACTGTGCAGAGGATCTGCAGTTCTGGCAATGGCACATTCTAAGGGGGGCAGAAGGGGAAGAAAAAGCTGACTGCAAGCAAAAAGGCATTTGAGCAGTGTCCACACACTGGGGCGGCCTTATAAACAAAAAGGAAATAAGAAAACAGAGAAGCCATCAGTAGAGGACTGTCTCTCATTCCACAGGTCACCGTGTGCTTACGTTACCACCCAGCCCTTCATTCACCCAGCCCGCGAGGGAAGAGGGC